AAAAAAAAAAAAAAAAAAAAAAAAAAAAAAAAAAATTTCCTACAACGCGTTAAAAACAACGGCACACCTGCCCCAGTGTGCAAAAAATGTGCGGAGTCAAAATTGGGCAAGCACAAAAATGAGATTTCTCTCCAGGTCAGCAGACAAGGCAAAGTGAAAACTGGAATGTCACATATATAAGGGACTACTTGTCTAAATTCAAAATGGTGTCCCTAATGTTGTAGTTCTTCGAAACGGTCCTGTAAAAATTCGAGACAGAATTATTTATATTGTTAAAAGAGATATTAAAGTTTGAGTTGTACTGCTTGGAGAGTGCTGAGAAAAAAATATCCTGTTTGTCATTGTAGTAATTATTTTTGTCGTTGCGTTGTATGTTGTTTGAAAAGTCTTCACTTGTCTTATTTGTGTACATGTAATTATTTTCCTGTTTTATAAAATGGTTAATTCTGTTATCATTTCTGGTGGAACATGCTGAGGGTGGGACGCAGGTGATGTGGCAGGCGTTCGAGTAGTAGGGTAAAATACTTCCATTATTGATGCTGCTCAAGTTGTTCAGCGAGGAGTCTGTGTCCATGGTAGCGTTGCTGCTGTTCCCATTGCTTCCATTTCCGTGGCTGCCGTTTCCGTTACCTCCGTTCCCGTTTCCTGGTGCGTTGGTTAAACTTGTGACGCTTGTTAGGTTGCACAGGTTGTTGGGACTTGTCCCGTTTTGTCCCCTTTCGTTTGGTGGGCCCTCTCCGCTGGTGCTGTTCGATGCGCTGTCATTGCCGGTTCCATTTGCACCCCCATTTGCACAGCCACTGCCCGCGCCACTCCCCGAGCCACTCCCCGTACCACTCCCACCGCTACTGCAGGATGGCGCGGAGGAGATGTTCCTCTGGGCAGAAGCGCAATTGGACAGGCTCAACATGTTATGATTGATAATATTATTAAAAACACTAACTGCATTATAGTTGGTGAGATTGGTCTCGATCGGTCTGTTTTGCATAGCGTTCATTTTGTTTCCATACAGGTTAGCATATTTTATTCTGAGGTTATTAGAATTGTTGTTGTACATGGGGATGAAGTTTGTAGGGTTTCGAGTATTTGATCCTGTTTGGTTCACCAAAGACTTTTGTCTTAACAGTTTATTACACAAGACCTGAGCAGAATGAACGACTTTTGAAATTTTCTCGACATTAATTTCTGTGTGGTCCATGACGTAGTTTCCTTTGGAAGCTCTGATTAGGGCCTTTTGCATCCACGAGATATATTTTATTAACTCTATTATCATGGAAATAATTTCGTCTTGGTTTTGGGCATGCTGTTCATTGTGGTTGTTTTGGCTAGCTGCGTACGTTTCGCTTGCCCCCACGTAGCAGCCTCTCTTGAGGAAGGAAGAGTGTGTGCCGCTTCCATTATTGTCATTCTTGGAGTTGTACGCATATATGCGTTGCTGTGCCGTAGCGGCGTCGTTCATGGTGGCATCGTTCATGGTGGTGTCATTCATGGTGGCGTCATTCATGGTGCTGTCGTTCATGACGGCGGCGCTTACGCTGAGGCATCCGTTGTGAATTGTACTTCCACTGTTGTGCTTACCACCGAGGTTGGCCTCACCACTGTGCATACGAGCGCATTCGCTGGCGCTGTTGCTTCCCATTCCATTGCTGCCTCCGAGAGCGGATGGGCCATTTGTAGTTGCCATTGATAGCCCATTGGGTGCTCCGGTAGATGGTTCATTTAATGCATCACTTAAGGGTCCATCCGCTGCTGGTACGCCGTTGCAAAGAGGGGCACTCTTCCTCCCCGCGCGTGAGAGGTTACCTGTAGTGACCATTTCAGGCACAGTGGACAGTGCGCAAGAAGACTCGTTAGTGGTATTGGAAGGATCTTCAGGAAACGCTTGTTGTTCCTCCTTAACGTTATTGGCCCGTCTCGTTTTGTTAAGAGTATTTTTCGGTTTTACTCTGCACGTGTCACACCTGACCTTCCTGAGGAAACCCTCAATAGAAAATTTCGTAGCCTTCCTCTTTTTGCGGCAAATCTTGCACGTCATTTCTATTCCGTCTGCTACACGTAAGGCTTCTGCTTTGGATGTGGTGACAGCGATCACCGTCGTCTTGAGCATAATGAGGGTATCAGATAAATTATTTTCATCCCCTGGAAAAAATGCATGTATTTTTTTTATTTCTCCTTTTAGGTTATATATTTTGAACACATCTCCAAAGAGCATGTAAGAATTCTGAGTGACATAGTACCGCTTGGTTTTTATAACCACGGCTCTGTAATTTACAAAATAAACGGACTCCACTTGATTCGTGCTAACTGAAGAAGGAGAGGGTGCGTGCGATCCGGGCGTATCCTTGTCGCTTTTGTATAGGGAGTATTTTTCGTACTTGTCTTCATCCGAGGGCGTCTGCTCATCTTTGGCCCTCTTCATTTTTGGGGGGGGGGGGTATCCGTGGGGTAAGCGCTTTGCGGTTTTTTCAGCGGGGTGCGGCGAAAATGGGCTGCAAGAACGGTCCACTGGTCGGCCGTTGCGGAGAGGTGAAGTGAACGAGACGAACGTTCGGGGGGACGCTGTTGCTAGTTTAAAAATACATTCGCATGTGTATAGGAGGCGGCACACGCGAGTGGGTGTTTAAGTGTCTTTTTTTTTTTTTTTTTTTTTTTCGGTTGGCTTTGTCGAAATGATGGATGGAGTGAAGAATCCCATTAGGCGGGCGGAAGGGGATTCGCCACAACGGAGAATGTCTTGTGCACTTTTATGCTTGTTCTCTAGTTCTTTGTGCGTTCAGTAGCATTCGTGGGGCAATATATTTGTCGGGTCCCCCTTATCATGGACAGGCGCTCGAGGTGGATTCTCTGGTAGCACGCACACGCATGTAGCTTGTCATACGGGAGGATAAACTTGTAGGACAGGGCACCCTGCGTAGCGCGTGTGGGTAGGAGGAAGATCACACAACTCTATATACACCAAACATGTGTAAAAAAAAAAAAAAAAAATGAAAAGACAAGGCACAGAATGATACGCACAAATGCGCAACGTACAATATGTAGACACGCCTTTTTTTAAAGCACGCCTTCTAAGCCGTTCAGCTGAAAATCATCACAGAGCAGAATAAGACAAGACAAAACAAGACTAAAGGACACCACAAAGTACACGTGGCACGGCATTAGCAACGTTCTGCACGAAGGGGGGAAGGGCCTGAAGGGAATTTCCACATAGACATGGGAGGGGGCACATTTGCCAACGTGCTATTTTTTTTTCTTGTGTATATTTTTCTGCTTACATTTAAGGAATATAAGTAGCCTTTTTCTCCCTTCTGTCAAGCGTACATATTCGCCTTAGGGGAAACAACCGCGGTGATCTACAGGGGGGGAAGGCGGCAGGCAAATGTGCGTAGTGGTGAGGGATGCCTTAAAACGGAGCTTAAGTAATTTTGCCCGTTTATTCGGCTTATTCTGTATATAGCTGTGTGGCTGCACATATGATACAGTTTCCCCCACAACCCCTGCTGTGGCGCCTCTGGTGCAGTGCAGATCCGTCGCGTAAATACAGAAGCGAAATTGCGCTTAAAAAAAAAAAAAAAAAAAAAAAAAAAGTCTCATTAATAAGCATAGAAAAGTAACGTGTTAAAATGATCACTTTGAGGTTGTAGAGGCGAGGGCATATAGTGCGGTCCTAAGGAAGGTGCATCCCGGCCCCGCAAGAGTAACAGCCTACATGAGTGCAGATGAAACATACACGCGCCTATGCGCTCTTTTGTCAAGGTGCATCAACACGTTTCTTACACCATCGCGGAGTCGTCGCATTCAATCATCATTTTGCACATGACAAAAAAAAAAAAGGGAAAAAAAAGGAAAACATTAAGGAAAAAAAACAAAACAAAACAAATAAAGGGAACAAAGGAGAAGGGGAAAAAATATATATATATGTGCGCTCATCAATGGGGTATATCAAGTGTGTCCTTTTTCTTTTTTTTTTTATTGTGTACAATTGGGCATGCACATTACATGTACAACGCGCTCTTATGCCAGAGGCATGGAAGCCATCCCCCCCTGCGAGTTTGGGTAACGTGTTCGTAAGTTACCCACTGAGGGACAAGTAGTATATATACACGTTATCATTAACGGGACGATTGCCCGGTTGCACATCCGGAGGAACGCAGGAAAATTCTGCCAAGCGTGTACTGACTCCACTAGTTCATTGTTAGCAACTTGCGTCATCTTTTGCTCATTTTTTTTTTTTTTTTTAAATGTAACATTATGTTATATTTTTACGAGTAGTACAGATTGTGTAAAAATATTTTAATGAACATTTTTGCGTGATGCGTGTTTAAATGGAAAATTCGGTTGGGGGGTCAAATGGTAGATTGGGTTGAGCAGTGTCGAGTGGTAGATTGGGTTGTGGAGTGTCGAGCGATAGATTGGGTGTTGGAGGATCGAGCGGGAAATTACTTTGCTCGTTCGAGCGATGAAATCGTGTGACAGATGCACGCGACGTACTCGCGTTACACATCCGGGGGATATACATCCATGCGACATATTTTTGCACAGCAGGGTTCCCCAGTAGAACCCGTCGATTGTGAAGAAAGCGCCCACCCCCGTCCCCCTTGGTATGCACATATAAGATGGTTCACTTGGGAACTCGAAAATGAGTGCAATAATTGGAAATACATGTGATTATTCCATTTTTAAATTTCATGGCTGACAAAAGGAACTTTGCTCGTCACGAGCGACATATCTGTTCAGTGCAACTTTTTTTTTTTTTTTTTTTTTTTTTTTTTAAGCAACACGTTGCTGTTTCGACATTTACTTTTATGGGAAATGGGGGAAAAAAAAAAAAAAAAAAAAAAAAAAAAGAAAAAAAAAAAAAAAAGTCTCATT